TATTTTAATTTAATATAGAAACTCACAGAGTGCCTACATGTCAAATTTTATTAATATGTATTTTAAAACATATAAAATATATATTTAAAAAGAGTAGCTGGGCACCAGTGGCTCATGCCTATAATCCTGGATACTCACGAGGCTAAGATCTGAGGATCATGGTTCAAAGCCAGCCCAGGCAGGAAAAGCCATGAAACTCTTATCTTCAATTAACCACCAGAAAACTGGAAATGGCTCTGTGGCTCAAGTGGTAGAGTACACACCTTGAGCTGAAGAGCTGAGGGACAGCACCCAAGCCCAGAGTTCAAGCCCCATGCCCCCCGCCCCACACAAAAGAATGACATAGTTCAGGCTGCTATAGCAAATTACTACTGGCTGGGTGACTTAAACAAACAAAAATGTGTTTTTCAGAATTCTGGATAATCCCTGGATACTAAGGAGACTCATGTAGGAAAGAGGACAAGTGGAGAAAGCCAAGCTTTGAATATTTGAATATCTGAACGATTTGTGTTAGCTACTTTCATAAACTGAAAATTGTTGTTATAATAAGTAGCAACAAAGGCAGCCATTCACAAGTGCATGAATGAATAAAGGCATTTGAATGAAACAAGGTCTTTTGTTCTTAGTTATCAGTGTGAATTCAGCAGAGGAGTGCATTCCCTATGTGTTTTTCATCCTTTAATAGGATAATGAGCAGAATTGTTTCAGGAACATCTGTGTTTCACAGCATCCATCCTATCCTCCATAGTCAGCAGAAAACATGTTTCATTTCTGGACTGCAAATAGATGCATCCACAGATCAGTGTATTCTGTCTTAACGACTTCTATACAGAACTTGGTAACGCAAAATAAACAACTTTACTGTCCAGACACAGGAAAGACATACTTCCGATTATTGGAAAGGCTTCAGTTCAGAGTTCCTCTAGATGTCAGTATTACATAGGGAAATGAAAATATAATATCCTGCAGCAATGAATGAAGACCTTACATTATTTACATGACAAAACATGTGGTTTATGTTTACCAAAGGGGGGGCAGCTTTGTTCAGAAACTGGGTACTGTGCTCTTCAAGATCAGTATCTTCTGCTGCTGGTTGGGTCAGACCTGAGCCTGAAGAATTTGATCACAACATGTGAACAGATGCTCTACCCACACTCAGCTGGCTTTCTGGGTAAGCAGTGATCAATTAGCACTCCAGTGATCAATTAGAACAGCCAAATTCTCAATTTTACCTATGTTGATGGGCTGAAATAAAAGGAGCCACTCCAGCTTTTATAGTTAAATACATCCTTGCTTTTACCATTATGTTTATCCCACAAAGGTAAGTCCAGAAGCATTATGCCTGTAGATATACTTAGTTGTATTTCAAATGAGAAACCTAGGAGTAGGAACATAGCAGTGAGAGTGAATTTGTTCAAAATGCACTATGTGCTTGTATAGAAACATCATAATGCAACCTTCTTATGTTACAGATGAAAAGATAAAATAATCATAAAAATTAAATGTTATAGACACAATTTGTTAAAACCGTCTTGACATTTAACTAATTTGAATGTATACATTCAAATCTGAATTTAAGTTGTTTATCCTTCCCCTCCATTCGTTTTTATTCTAATCTTTGGATAAGTATTTGTCTCATTACTCATCTTTTTTCTTTTTAGTGGGGCTTGAACTCAGGGTCTCATGTTCATTCTCCATTAGCTTTTCTCTTCTGGTGCTTTACAACTTGAGCCATAGTTCCACTTCAGCCTTTTGCTAGTTAATAGGAGATAAGAGTCTCTTAGTTTGTCTGCCTAAACTGTTTACACACTGGGATCCTCATATCTCAACCTCCTGAAGAGCTAGGACTATAGGCATGAGCCACTAGTACCAGTCTGTTTTCATTTCTTATGCCCTTCCCTCTGAATCTTTTTTATCTTCTGTAGTGGTATGTAATAGACCCTAATAACAGCTTGGCTACTATCCTTCTGTCTGTAATCTCTGAGTACAGATTGAAATAGGTAGCCAAGTTAGAACCCTGCCTTCTTCTATAAAAGGAAGTGATTGTCTCTATTTCAGAGTTCTTATGAGGCACAACTGAATTAAAAATGCAAGGTTCTTTAAGGAACTCCTGGCACAGTGTCCATGCTCTGTACATTTGGGCCATTATCACTACCACTCATCATCATCATCATACCATCATGATCTTCATGACATCACCACCACCACCACCACCACCACCATCATCATCATCATCACATTACTATGTGATGTACTATTATTTTGGGCCATTAAAGGCACACAATCTAATAGGAAACTAATAAGGAAACACTTTCAATAAAGTATTGCAAGAGATAACAGGTTTACCCATAGGCAAAGATCTATGAAAATAGAGGAGGAACAACCCACTTTGCCTGAGGAGCCTGAAAACTGTTTTTTCCAGCCAATCTCTGCACTGTATTCATGAGGGAAATTCTTTTTTTTTTTTTTTTGTTGGTTGTGGGGCCTGAACTCTGGGCCTGAGTGCTGACCCTCATCTCTTCAGCCTCAAGGCTAGCACTCTACCACTTGAGCCACAGTGTCACTTCCAGCTTTTTCTGTTTATGTGGTACTAAGGATCAAATCCAGGGCCTCAAGCATGCAAGGCCAGCATTCTATCACTGAGCTACTTTCCCAGCCCAGGAGAAAAACTCTTTAGCCCTACACTCTGATCTTTGCTTTTTATACATTATTGACCAGGCCTCTGCATTGTAAGCCCCCCCCCCCCGAAACAAAGTAGAAATACTCTGAACCTGTGGAACTGTGCTTTGAATTATTTTAAAGTATATTGCAATTGCCCTTAGTACCCGAGTTTATGCTCTTGGAGTTTCCAGTTTGTAAAGCCCCTTTCAGCAAGTTATATTCCATTTCAAGGACAAGAGATTGATTCTGTGGACCTTCAATTTAATCAGGTTGTGTCTCTGAACTTTAGAGTTTGTAACAGTTTGGGTGGATTAGGTTGTTTACTTTTTATGTGTGTGTGTTTTTTTTTTTTTTGCTAAGCAAAGTGGGTTGCTCCTCTTCTATGTTTGCATAGATTTTTGCCTATGGATAAACCTGTTATCTCTTGCAATACTTTATTGAATATGTTTCCTTATTAGTTTCCTATTAGATTGTGTACCTTTAATGGTCCAAAAGAATAGTACATCACATAGTAATGTGATGATGATGATGATGATGATGGTGGTGGTGGTGGTGGTGGTGGTGGTGGTGGTGGTGGTGATGTCATGAAGATCATGATGGTATGATGATGATGATGAGTGGTAGTGATAATGGCCCAAATGTACAGAGCATGGACACTGTGCCAGGAGTTCCTTAAAGAACCTTGCATTATTAATTCAGCTGTGCCTCATAAGAACTCTGAAATAGAGACAATCACTTCCTTTTATAGAAGAAGGCAGGGTTCTAACTTGGCTACCTATTTCAATCTGTTCTCAGAAGGATCATAGCCAAGCTGAATTATTAATATTTATTAGGGTCTATTACATAGCATCACAGAAGATAAACAAGATTAAAAGAGAAGGGCATAAAAAATGAAAATAGCCTGGCACTAGTGGCTCATGCCTATAGTCCTAGCTTTTCAGGAGGTTGAGATATGAGGATTCCAATGTGAAGCCAGTTTAGGCAACCTTGAGCAAAAGCAGCCCAGGGACAGTGCCCTGAGTTCAAGCTCGTTAGCTCAAGGCTAGTCCTCTATCACTTGAACCACAGCGCCATTTCCAGCTTTTTCTGTTTATGTAGTACTGAGGAATTGAAGCAAGCACCCTACCACTGAGCCACATTCCCTGCCCCTTTATGTGGTATTTTAAAGGGAGTTACTAAACTAATACAGAGAACCTAGAATTGTGGGAATAATTTATCTACTTAGAAGTACCATCTGTTCTTAAAAAAAAGCTTTCTTTAATCTCCTGCTTTCTCTGTATGTATGTAGGTGTGTGTGCCTATACATATATGTATATGTTTATGTGTATATATTTGCATTCAACTTACATGAAGCATATCAAGACGACTTAACAGAAGGTCAAAAATAATATGTACATTGTTGATATCCTTTAGTTTGTTCACAAAAATTGGTTACATTCCACAAACCTTAATAGAGTTCTGTAGGATTTCTTTGAAAGTCTCAGACACTGTAATCTCTATAGGATTTCATTAATCAGATGGTTATAAACTATGTGACTACTTATTTTATGTTTAATTTCTATGCCTGAATAATATAATATAGTAGTTACCAACCTGGAGCAATTTTGCTGCCAAGGGACATTCAGCAATCTTTGAAGATATTTTGGTTTATTGTGTGGTGTGTGTGTGTGTGTGTGTGTGTGTGTGTGTGTGTGTGTGTGTGTGTGTGTGTGTGTGTGTGTGTGTGTGTGTGTATGCATGTGTGTATATCTGGCAGTACTAGGGCTTGAATTGAGTACGTAGGTGCTGTCCCTTAGCTTTTTAACTCAAAGCTATCATTCTACCAGTGAGCCACACTACCATACTAAGGTACTCTACTACTCCCAGCTTTTGGGTTGTTAATTAGAGAACAGAGTCTCATGGACTTTCCTTCTCTGGACTGGCTTAGAACTGCAATCCTCATATCTCAGCCTCCCAAGTATCTGTGATTACAGGTATAAGTTATCAGTACCTGGCTAATTTTACATTTGATTGACAATGTGTTAGATAGTAAGGAATGATAAGTTTTGAGATCTATTGCAGAACAGGATCAACATAGTCCATAATAAGGCATTATGTACTTTGAAATAATAAAGAGGATATATTTCAGATATCTACAGGAAAATTTTGTCATCACAGCTCAGAGGCCTGGTACTGCTGGCATCTGATAGGTAGAGGCTAAAGCTGCTGCTAGATGTATGTATGTACTACGTATGATGTTATTCACAACAAACAACTGTCCACCCTCCTCCTTCACAGTGCTAAAGGTGAGAAACACGGATGCAATAGGTGATTTCAATGACTTAATTTTGTATTTATAGGCTGAGGAGAAGGTGTGGCCAAACCCTGTCCTGAAGGAAAGGACACCTATTGAAGATGAAAGGACATCATCCCTCACAGGTAGCACCTCTAGAAGACCATATAGTGGATAAAAAGAATTCTGCTGTGATAGTTCTGCTGCATCTGTTGTTCTTATTTAAAGGAAATGACACATTTCTAAATTTGTGTAGGGAAATGTGTTGTTTTGTGGATAACTTGGCTTTGGGTCCTATCAGTTATAAACAAAAATCTCTTGAAATTCATGTCAGTTGATTATTCATAGTTCCTCCTACTTTGCTCTTGAGTCTTATGCCTGCTGATAAAAAGAAACCCAGGTAGAGATTCCATTGTATGAAACCCAGATTATACTGATCACATGCCTTCCCCATTAAATATTTTGTGTCCTATGGTGGCTTCTAGAAAGATCTACAGAGAAGAACAAATTCTCCTCTGAAAATGAAAAGGTTGATAGACTCAACAAGAAAAATGCTGAGAAGACCAATGCCTCTGTAGCTCAGAGTATTATCATGTGTAATATGGAAAAACAAGATAATGCGGAAGATCTTGCGCCAAGAAATTCCATAGAGTCAGATGGAAAAGACAGTTCATGTGTAGAGAGTTTGAAGAGACAAGAAAACAGTAGTACTGGAGATGATAAGCAAGGCATTGTGGGTAAAAACGAATGTCTACTGTTCGAAGGAGAGAAAAATGAACCTTTTTCCAAGGAAGAAACTAGTGGAAGAGAAGCTGAGAACGGCGAAGGAACCACAATTACAAATGAAATGGTGCTGGACCAATGTTCAAATAAAAGGCAGCATGTTGATAAAACCAATGGTGATGAGTGCCATGAAAGGTAGGGTTATACCAGTACATATCCACAGCTGGTGAGGTTTTTATATATTTTTGTGCCACTAAAATTTGAGGTTAAATTGAAAGGATAAATGGAGAGCATTTTTAAGGCAATGAGTTGAATTTCTCAAGGTAGATCTCCCATTGCCATATTTTCTTGTCATTACTTTTTATTTCTTGCCTGTGATATTTTCCAGTATTTCATTCTTTTCCCCTTCCTTTCCTTTCCCTTCCTCTCTCTTCCCCTCCCATACCTCCTCCTCTTCTTTTCTCCCCTCTCTGTCCCCTCTCCATCCCTTCTCCTTCCTTCTTTTATATTCTTTTTGTCCTGGGGATGGAACCCAGGACCTGAATCATGCTAAGTATTGTGCTCCACCATTGAAGAGCTACACTAGTCCCACTTTTCTGTCTTCTAAGTCTTCTAATAAGTGCAAGTAGCCATTATAAAGGTAATGGTTATTAATACTTCCAGTGATCGATTATATTTTTAAAGATGAAGTAAAAAGTTTGATTTTTGATCTTTAACAATAGATAAAATATCCCTCCCAAGGCCAAGAACTAAATAATGCCTAGATTTAATTGTAAATTAAAAACTAACAGAAAAATATACCTAGTCCATGATTCAGGAAAAAATAGGTCATTTCTCTCCAAATACTATAAGAAGTAGATTGTTGATTGATTTTATTTTTCTATTGAAAATGTTCATAAACAAATTTAAGAAATTTTGTAACCAAATAAAATGAATTGCTTTAAGTTAAAACAAATCACAGTATCTATTTGGCAAAAAGAATATCTAGACACGTGTGTGGTCTCTTTTAGAGATTTAAGAAATAATTTCTATTTAGTTTTAAAATAATATATTTGAAGCCTAACTTTAGAAAATTTTAATTTTCCATAAATTAAGCATAAATGCTTAGGATTATTCAAGGTAATCCCTGTAAAGATATCCTTAATGGGGTCAGAAGCTGTCCAAAAAATGGAAATTAGGTTAATTCCTGCACCAGTGAAGGCTCTCTCATGGCTGTTAATCTTCCCACAGATTATCACTTTTTATGTTATGCTATAATTTAGTGATTTTTTTCTCTTCTATAAATAAAGGAAGTCAAAAAAGTGAAGATCAAATTACTACTTCTATAAAGAGTCAGTTAAATAATGTGGGTTCACCATGAGATCTTGAGGAGATTTTCTACATCCTTGGATCTAATAGGGAGCAACACACTGTCATAGTTTGTCTCTAACTGAGGTAGTCATGTTTCTGCTACAGAACTCACATCCTCTTTGCCAGAACACTACTGTAAGAAAGCTTTGATTCTAAGAATTTTGATCATCTGAACATTTTCTCCTTCAAAGTTTGAGAAACACAACTGGATTTTATTTTCTAGGTGTGTCATCAGCCTAAAAGACATTTTGACACAAGGAATCCTGGAAAATTCTGGATCCACTTTCCAAAATGTGGAACAAACAGAGTTTGCTGGCAGCAGTAAGCGGAGAGTGATGGAGGAGTTCTTTGTCAATGAGGACAACAAAAAAAGCAAAATAGATGTTGTGTGTGCAAGTGAAGAACAAACATTTCAAAGGACAAAGGACACCAGACAAGACCAAAGGAGCTATCAGGGTCCACCCCAGGAGTTAGCTGGAAAGAAGACCTCCAGAGAACAAGATCTGATGGCCCCACTGGGTAGGAAATGGCTTTTGTTCTGGCCTCCTAAAGTTTCCTCACCTTGTCCAGCAAGCATTCCAACCAAATTTCTCCTAGTCTAAGAGCCTGAGGAAGACAATGCTATGATGATTCCATTAATATGGTTAACTCAATCACTTTTTTTTGGTTGGTTGTGGGGCCTGAACTCTGGGCCTGGGTGCTGTTCCTCAGCTCTTCAGCTCAAGGCTAGCACTCTACCACTTGAGCCACAGCACCCTTCAGGCTTTTTTCTTTTTGCTTATGTGGTCCTGAGGAATCGAACCCAGGGCCTCATGCATGCAAGGCAAGCACTCTACCACTGAGCCACCTTCACAGCCCCAACTCAAGCACTTTTAAAAATGGTCTCATGGATGCAAACCCAAACCTTGCTTATATTCCAGGCCAGTGAAGCAATTTCTTTTTTAAAGAACAAAATTGGAAACAATGAATGCCATCAAGAGAATCCCCTCATGATTTTATTTTTCAGCATATGCATGGTATGAGAGGTGAATGGTCACATCAAATCAGATTCCTAGTGATTTATGTTATCTGAATATAAAAATGTTAAATTAATTAAACTAAATTGATATTAAGCTAAACATATCAATACTTACAAGAGTATATAGAACAAGGTAAGTACTTAAAGAAATATATGTTGGATAAATATTTGGTTTTGAAGGCACAATTTCTTATATCATTGTATATATAAAGTATATGCTAAGTGATGAAACAATGAACAGGCTCGTGAATAGAAAGAATATTTTAATAGTAATGCAAAGGTTTAGAGAAAACACTGGGAGAGATATTATCAAGTAATTATGCATGTTAGGAATGATGCCAATGTAGACTTAAGTTTAAACACATGGGATAGAAGGTAGAATGTGGGAGAAATTTGATAGCTGTACACTACACACTTACCTACTTTTATTGGGTGTTTAACTTCCAGCCAGCCAGGAAAAATTCATCTCTATGCCTTAAATGTCTCTTATATAACACCTAAGACATTTTTGGAAAGCATTATATATAAAATATCAAACATTTCAATGGCAGAAATGGGTCAAATAATTTCTTACGTTTGAATTAAAGTGATCTCAGGTTTAGAAGTATTTTATTTTCTTTATTCTTTTCTTTTTTCTTTTTTGTAGTACTGGTGACTAATCTCTGGCTTGGTCAGCAGTACCTCAAGAGTCTTGTTCATGCTAAACAAGAGCTCTATAACTAAGTTACAGCCCCAACTCTTGAACTCTTACTGTTTAAACTGTCCTGGGGCTGCAGATTTTGAACTATCATGACTTTTCCAAAATTTGTCCTGATGAGGATATAATTGACTGACCCTGAAATTCTTTCTGTAACCTCTAATATCACCTTTATGAGTCACAAGTCAGAATCTGAAGTGTATGTTCTTAGATTATTAGCAATAAGTTGGGTCACTTGTTTTTTATGATTTAATGGGCACATTTTTTCTATGAGGCTCAATGACTGATGCTACTGTGAGGAGGTCAGATTTCCTGACAAATGGCCCTTCTCTCATCTTCCAGATGATATCCCAGCTCCTGCTGCTCCATTTGACCATCGTATTGTAACAGCCAAATACGCTGCAGTAGACAGTTCATATACTGTCAGCAAGACAGACATTCTGGGAGGGTGAGTAACTCTGGATTTGAATAATCTTTCACTAAAAACAGAAAAGCCTTCACAGAAACAGAGCCTGAGGACTTCAGAAGTGTTAGCTGACCATCTCCAAAGAACTAGAAACATTATAAATAAACATCTTAAGAGCTTTCAAGTTTTTTTTTTAAGTGCAAGTTCTTGGGCTTGAACACAGGGCTTGGGTACTCTTCTTTTTATTCAAGGTTAGCACTCTACCACTTAAGCCACAGCTCTACTTTCTGCCTTTTGCTAGTTAATTGGAAGTGTTTCACAACTTTTCTGCCCAGGCTGGCTTTGAACCTGGGTCCTGAGATCGCAGTTTCCTAAGTAATTAGGATCACAGGTGTGAGCCACTGGCATCTAGCTTGATTTCAATCATTTTTGAAAATTGTAACTAATACTAAATTGATGTAATGATGAAACTTTCCATTTATTATCTCACACTGTAAGAGGAAGAGGAATGCAGAAAATTACACATGTACAAAATTAGCTTAACAAGCCATAGAAGGTGCACAAGGTTTCTGTGATTGGTTATTGGGGTATAATTAGTTACTTTTTTGTAAAGTTTCTCTCTCCTCTTCCCATTCCATGTTCCTTTTGCTTTTGGACATATGGAATCATCTGGCCTTTGTCTTTCTCAGCTGGCTGATCATGCTTTGCTTTCTACTTGGTAGGAATGGACAGAGGGAGAAATGAAGATTCTAAAACATGAGCTGGTATCATGTTTAAGTCTTCAGAGACTTCAGTGGCAAGCCAGCAAATATTTTTTGAAGTAGAATAGTTATTTGCAGAAGAAATTTGGACATCATTCCCAAGGTTTCTGTTGTTTTTCTGGCCAAGGTTTGCCAATGGCTCCCCTTAAACTTCTGTTCTACCTCTGTGAGCACCACTGGATCTGCTCTGTTGTATTGAGGTCTGACCTATCGGGAAAATCACTTTGGCTTTCATTCAACACTGGTGGCTATTATATACTCATAACATAAGTTAGAAAAGTATAACTGAGCCTGTGCTGTTGCTTTAAGATATGAAGAAGGGACCATCACCAAATATGGTGTCTCTTTTTATCCCTTTAGTACCTGGGTTTTCATGATGAAGCCTCTTATCTTTTTTGTATGTGCTAGTACTGGAGGCTTGAAGTCAGGGCCCGGTCACTGTCCCTCAGCTTTTTTTTATTCAACGCTGATACTATGTGATCCACAGCTCCACTTCCAGATTTTTACCTGTTCATTGAAAATAAAGGTCATATAGACTTTTCTGCTCGAGCTGACTTTGAAACACAATGCTCAAATCTCAGCTTCCTAAGTAGCTACGATTATGAGCAGGAGGGGCAGCTTACCTTTTATGTTTTTCAAAAACACTGATATATGACAAGTATCACTGGCTCATCAAAAACATTTTTTTGGGTTTATCTCTTGCCCTGTGACCTCTATGGTATTTACATCTCCTCCAAGGTTTGGATTTAAAATGCTCCCCAAAGCCCAAGGTGTTAGGGACACAGTTGCCAGCTGGTGGTACAGTAGAGAGGTGGTAGAGCCTTCAAGAAGTGGCCCTAATGGGAGACGTTTCTCACACTCTTTGCTTCACAGCTACTGTGAAATGAGTAATTCCTCTGCCACATGCTCCTGTTGAGTTGCACTGTGCTACTATAGATCCAAAACAACAGGGCCAATGACCATGAATTCAAACCTCTGAAGCCACGAGCTTTCTGGCTGAGGAAGAAAAAGCCACATGGGAGTCACCTGGAGCTATGTTCAGATGCCCCAATAAAGACTCTTATCTACAGTGGTGATTGGAATTGAAGTCACTGTTTAGCTATGTCCACAGTAATCCAATATCCTCCTTCTAGGTCCACATTGCTTCTTGCTGGGTGGGTAGCTGAGGGATGTGGTGATGGTCAGTACCCCTTCATCTGTCAAGTGTGGCTATCACCCTTACCCCTGCAGGCTCCAGGAATGTGGCTGTCTTGAAGGTTATTATACTGTGATGGAGGTTCTCTTTTCTCTCTCTTGTTACAACCACTGTGACACAGAGCAAGGACATTTCTATCTTACTTTACTAAGTAAGGAATCAAAATAAACAAAATGTAAAACTTGCTCATGACTGCGCATTTCGTGATTACTAAGTAAGAAGCTATGTTACTTTGTTTTCTGATACTGTAAGCAACAACTGCAGGTTGGGTATTCTATCAATGAAAGAGGTATATTTAGCTCACAAGTTTGGGCATTTGGTATCATAGTGCCTTCATTGTAGAGGCTCTAGGGAAAGGTACTCTAGATGCATCATGTCATGGTAAATGACATTATTGGAGGAGCACATGGAAGTCAGGGAGAGATGGAGAGGGGCTAGGTTTGCTCATTTTCAAGAGCTAACCAGGTTTCTACAAGATCTATAATTTCTTCAGAGGACAACACATCTAACAACCCAATTATTTTGTAGTAGGCCCCACTTCTTAAAAGTTCCATACCATATATATATATATGGTGCACACACACACACACACACACACACAATGGAACTCTATGCTTCCATCAGAAAGAATAACACTGCATCATTTGCAAGGAAATGGAAAGACTTGGAAAAAATCATATTAAGTAAGCCAGACCCAAAGAAATATAGGTCCCATGATCTCCCTTATTTGCAATAATTAGTATACATCTAGGATAATCTTAGCTGATGAGCAGAATAGCTCAATAGCTATGTCATATTACCATATAAGATGATGCTAAGCAAAATGAACTTCATGACATGGACACAAGAGGTTTTTCTTTGTTGTTGTTCTCAATGTACTACATGATTTCTTTTTTCTTTTGTGTCCCCCCTATGAGTTCATCCCCTGTAGTCACTACATTCAATTTTGGTACCCTGAGTATTTTATATATGTTTATCTGAACTAGGGAAAGGAAGGGGAACAACAAAATGGTGAGACAAAGGACAAAGGGGGAACCTATGCAACAGCAATACTCACAAGGCAACATGTTGGAAATGCTCTGTACAACTTGATGAGGGGGGATTGGAACTGGAGGGGGAAGGGAAAGAGGGAGAAAAATGAGGGAAGGGGTAACAAATTAGACATCATCACCTTAACAATAAAAAAACATATAAAAAAGTTCCATGCCATCCTAGCTACTCAGGAAACTGAGACCTAAGGATTGTAGTTCAAATCTAGCCTGGGCAGGAAAGACCATGAGACTCTTATCTCTAATTAATCACAAAAAAAAGCCAGAAGTGGTGCTGTAGCTCAAGTGGAAGAGTGCTAGCCTTGAGCAAAAGGAGCTTACAGATAACACCCAGGCCCAGAGTTCAAGGCCCATAACTGGCAAACAAAAAGTTCCATATCAACCCAATACTGCTATCCTAAGGACCAATCACATGAACTTTTGGGGAACATATTCAAAGTATATCCCTAGCAAAAGCTGTCATAGAAAGTGTATATAAGTTGATGTCTAAGTTACATTGTGAAAAATCTCATCAGTGACTCAATTACATGAATTTATATTCATTATTAACTTTTAAATTTATATGCAGTTTCTAAAATGATTTGATATCCTTGATTCACAGACTATTTTGTTGATATGGTTACAAAGTCCTGCTTATTACATTCACATGTACTCAGGATGATTTTGTGTTGTTCATAACAACAGTTCTCCACGTTTAATGTGCAAATAATAAACCAACAGTCCCCAGAAATGCACATCCTTAACCCTCTCAGTTACAGGAGGGTATTGGTACTCCATAGATTCCCACCTCCATCAATGCTATCCTAGAAGTTTATCAGAGAGGGTAGATGTACTCACAGGATGGAAAATTCAAATTCGGATTGAGAAATGCCTGAACCACATACTCACACCTCATGCCTATCAGGAACTGATCACTCTGTGATGTCTTCTTTGGTAGGGGTCGTTTTGGCCAGGTCCACAAGTGTGAAGAGAAAGCAACAGGCCTGAAGCTGGCTGCCAAAATCATTAAGACCAGATGCCGAAAGGACAAGGTAAAGGCCATGGGAGGCAGGTCTCTCTCTCTCTCTCTCTCTCTCTCTCTCTCTCTCTCTCTCTCTCTCTCTCTCTCTCTCAACTAGAATCCATCTGCTAATGTGTGGTTTCTTCCTTCTGCTCAGGAGGAAGTGAAGAATGAGATCAGCATCATGAACCAACTGGACCATGTGAATCTCATTCAGCTCTATGATGCCTTTGAGTCCAAGAATGATATCATCCTGGTCATGGAGTAGTAGGTGTCCCCTTCACATGCCTCCTTCCTAGCACTTGTAACAAAGAGACTGCAGTTTTGTCTTGCCTTAGCAGGACAGAAGTGCAATGCATCATCAGATCTTGTTTGCATGAATCATATGATCCAGTTAGTTTCAGAAAAGAAACTGCTAATGATTGTGTATCTCCCATTGATACAAGTATATCTACCATTGATAAGTAGTACGACAAAGTAGATATATCTTTGTATCTAAATTCTATGGCCAAACCAAGCCTAAATTCTACCCTGGGTAATCTAAAACAAAGTGATTTTCCATTATCATTATAGATTTGTCTTTCTATAAGCTCAAGGGAATATGAGCTATAGACACTATGTTCTTCTCTATCTTATCTATTTATCTATCTACCTATTATCTATCTACCTATTATCTATCTATCTATCTCTCTCTCTGTCTGTCTGTCTGTCTAGTAAAGGCTATCAGTTAGCAAGTAATAGTAAGACAATTAGAATAACATACTATAATAAATATGAATATGTTTGATCACTCAAAATAGCTTATTGTGCTTTACTGGCTACAGTTGACTATAAGACCTTTGAGAGAGAACTGGTAAATAAGTAGGGATTAATATATTCATGAATTCAAAGTTCATACCAAATCCTTGATGACTACAGTTAAGAAGTTCCAGCTTCGATTTAGAATCCTGTGTGTGTGTATGTGTAGATACAGAGAGAGAGAAGGGGAGAGACAAGACAGAGAAGGGGGGAGGAAGGAAGGAATGAAGGAAAGAAGAAGGGTGAAGAAAGAAAGGAAGGAAAGGAAGAAAGGAAATGAAAACAAACCAGGCATGGTAAGCTCATGTCTGGCTGTAATCCTAGCTACATGGGAGGTAGAGGTGCAAAAATTGTGAATCAAGGTCAGTCTGTGCAAAATCTTAGAGATCCTACCTCAAAGAACAAGCTGGGAAGCAGCGGTATGTGTCTGTAATCACAGCTACATGGAGGCATAGATATGAGGAACAGAATTCTTGGCTAGCACAAAGTATGGCTCAAGTGATGTAGCATTTGCCTATTGAGTACAAAGCCCCAAATTCAAGTCCTAATACTGCCTCCCAAAAGAAAACTAGTAGTTCCAACTAATACTGAGTCAATATTGTAATTCATTGTTTCCATTTTGCATCAAGTTCCTCTACCATAAGCATCATCTGACCAAGATGGCAAAGAAGGCAGAGAAATTACTGTGCACACATGGTGCTTTTTGTTAGTGTTAGAAGGACTTATATACCATGTTACTAAAGGAATGTATATACCAAGTTACTAAGAGCATGTGGTACTTCAGGAAGCAGGACTGAACTTCACCCTTTTCCCCATTGTAGTGTGGAAGGTGGAGAGCTGTTTGACCGCATCATTGATGAAAACTACAACTTGACAGAACTCGATACCATCCTGTTCATCAAACAGATTTGTGAGGGGATTAGGCATATGCATCAGATGTACATCCTCCACTTGGACTTAAAGGTAGAACCTTTTTTCCATCCTACCAAATGTAAAGTTTTTCCAATCCTTCCTTCCTCATATGGTAGGGGTTTTTTTTGGAGGGGGGTGGAATCTCTGTCAGGTATTATATATCAGCTCAAAATATTGGTGCTATCACTAGTTATGTTTTTAGGAGTTAATAAAGATTGTGTGTGGGAGTTAGGTGTGTGGGTGTGTGTTGAGTTGAGATATCACTGTGAGATCCTGTGTAGCTGAGACTATAAGCTTATATTCCATACCCAGAAAAATCTAGATTCTCTATTCTCAACTCTCTCACCATCTTTATGGACTACTATTTGCATGCTCATCTTTACAGTCTATCAGTCAGATCTTGTAACTTACCTGTGTTAAACAAAATTAACATGGTGGTGGTTTCCCTGAAGTTTCTCATTTTCGAGGTACTTAGGTGGGAGAATTTTAGCTAAATTTTCCATATGTTCAAGAACCTCTACCACTCCGCTCTTCAGAGCTTTAGGAAGCTTTACTTTACTTTCCCTTGACTTACTGGAAGATGAGTAGAAATCACTGAGAACAGAATGAAGGAAAGCCATTAGGTGGGGCTGAAATGTCAAGGTGCTGAGAGGGTATAGTGGGCTGCACTAGAAATGGAAGAGAGCACATGACAGAAGCTGGATCACTTCCTTTCTCCTCTTACTTTTTTCCTCTCTCCTTTGTATCACTCTCTATGAAGTGTCCAGAATTGAACTGCATTTAATGCAAAAGACCAAATCCCAGTAACCCCGGTTATGTCTAATTTTGGAACTAAGTATCTGAAAGTGCATCTTCTTGTGTGGCTCCATCATTTTCCCCTTTTCCTGTTTGCACAGCATGACAGTGAGATAAAGTATGCATTCTATATAACATACCATCGATTGCAAGTCATCAGGGAGTGTGCAGCTGAATAAATCTAGCCGCTTTAAATAGGTTTCCATGGGCCTCTCTTCCTACAACTTGGCTTCTCTCACTCTTTGATTTATGTGTCTTGCCTTTCCCACTCACTGTTGCTTAGGACAAGAGTGGGGGGAAATAGAATATAAAATGACAAAGTCAGAGGTTAAAAACCATTAGCAAAGTCTTTGGCCATGAACTGAGTATGATAATGCGTATTTTTATGGGCCGTATTTCCATGAGTGTGGATATTCTACAGATATTCCTGCAGGGATTTGATTGGCAACTGGAGCCAGGAGCTAAACTACTACAAGTGAAATGACTCCATCTGTGGCTTCTTAACATTGATTGAGCAGTTGCAATGGGCAGTTTTAGTTATGGCTTGTATATAACAACAATAATAAAGGTGACAGCTGGATGAGTCACTAAGGAGTCACTTTTGAGAAAGCTCCTTGGAAGGAAAAGAGCCAAAAAATATTAAGAGTACTTGTCACTATTTAGGGAAATGAGAGCTGGCTTAAAAGAAGTCCCCTTTATGTTTTTTACGTTCTGCAAATCTTATGCAGTGAACATTTTTTCATTTCATAATCACAAAAACCTAACTGTTTTGTGCTGGGGCTTGAATTCAGGGCCAGGGTGTTCTCCCTTAGCTTTTTGCTCAAAACTGGCTCTCTACCATTTGAGCCTCAGCCACTTCCAGTGGAGATAAGGGTCTCATGGCCTTTTCTGCCCAGTCTGGCTTCAATCCTCGATACTCACTTTTTATCCTCCTGAGTAGCTAGAATTACAGGTGTGACCCACTAGTGCCTGGCTTAAAAATGAACTAGTCCTGGGGCTTGAACTAAGGGCTTAGACACTGCTGATCTTTTTTGTTCAAGACTGGTGCCACAGCTTCACTCTGGCTTTTTTGGTGATTAATTGGAGATTAAAACTCTCATGGGCTTTCCTGACTAGGCTGGCTTTGAACCATGTTCCCCAGATCACAGCCTCCTGAGTAGTTGAGATTAGAGGCATGAGCCACCAGTGTCTGGTAAAAACTTTTTGATGTACCCTCAATAGATGTTTGTATATATGTGGCAAAGGCAGTTTAGGATGTTATAATATTTTTAAATGATTAGGCAGTTTTCTACATAATGACTTATTTAAGTATAAAAGGCATGGCTTGTACAAAAACAACAACTTGTCTTTAAAATGATTTTTACTCACAGGTATCTGTGAGATACTTTAGAAAAGGGCTTTATCAAATGAATGATTGAATATTGAAAAGGAAACACTGCATCATTTCATAAAGCATATATGAGTTTTTATTGTGTTTAAACCTGTTTTCTACCAGACAGAAGGTAAGGGCTGTGATCACTACCCAAAAGATGGATATGGAATCCTGGGTATCCAAAGACTTTGCCAGCACCATCTTCAAGAAAAGTTGAAACTAGAGTTGGAGAGTTCTCAGCTCTTTGAAAATGTTCTTTCTCTTTTACGAATAATAATGACCTTAAATCAAGTCCCTCATTTTTTCCCCAGATCTCAGGTTGTTGTTTTTTTCCCCCCTATACTAATTAATACAGTTAGACCCACAGGACAAATACTACCTACTTTTCTCCATTTCACAATAAGTCTCTCAGGGCACAGTCTTATCAGACTAAGGGAACACTAAGTCATAGGGTTTAGGCATTGAGAGCAAACGGTAAAACTTTGGAATTTCTGAGGATAAAGAATGAGTAGGAGAGAACAGCCTTCCTTTAGCATGTGACTTTCCCATAGACAAACACAAAAGGAAAATCTGGAGGTCAGGAATGTACACATTGTGCTGCATATTCAATGTAGTTGTCTAAGTGAATCAGGCCATTTCTCTTGGAACTCATAAATCTAAGGGGAAAATATTCCTACAAGAAGGGGAAACATACTTAATAATTTTAGTGTGTGTTGAAGCAGATGTCACATCTGAGCCGGCCTACACCAGCCCATTTGGGAAGTAGTGAAACAGCCTGCTTCTCTTTCTTCCCTCAAGGAGGCCTCTGCTTGAACTCATGCATTATGGTAAACTGCAAAACCATGGAGAGGGACAGGCAGGGTAATGCAAGGTTGGCAGGGTACCCACAACCTCATCCACCACATAATTAAAGGAGAAAATACCCACACAGACAAGCCAGCCCCCAAGTGAAAGGTCTGATATGTTTTTCCTGAGCATCGTTGTATTTTTAGTTGTGGTTCAAGGACAATTTGAGTGAAGGATGGTTGTTTTTATTGCTAATGTGTCTCTTTCTCCTGGCAGCCTGAGAATATCCTGTGTGTGAATCGAGATGCTAAACAAATAAAAATTATTGATTTTGGATTGGCCAGAAGGTATGTCTGTTTGGACATAGGTGTAAGGATGGTGTTAGGGGACATTCCTTGCAAAGATAAATCTGATATGCCCCTGGGTTTCCTGCCTTCATTTAGAATTAATTTAATGAGAACTACGTTCAGTCTTACTTTGTTGAACTTGAGCATTTAAAGGTTTCTTGAATTCATAAAGAAGTGAGATATAAAAACCCAGTACAGTGAACTTTATTAGGTTAGAAGCCATTAAGTTAGCATTTGTAAGAGTTTTTGTTTTGATTTGCTGTAAAAATACTAATAGTATAAACAAGTTTGCAGAGGGTTGTGGCACATATAAACTTCGTATGGCCACAGAAAGCTTAGGTGAACACATTAACAATTCAGAATATTAATGATGCATATAAATGGGTAATACATTTTTGCAATATTTTGTTTGTGTGTTAGCACAGGCTTACTTTGGTCACCTACATGCCAAGGACTGTACTGGTTTTCTTTTTGCCTTTTCTGTAATTCAGATGTTCTAATAGTTGAGAGTGGCTTTCGCTACAGCTGTTGCAGATTATTAAGCTTTTAAAGATGAATTTTTACTCTTGAAACCCTTGGGAAATTTTTGATAGTAGCACAAGCAATCCATTTCCTGTAAAGTTTGTTTAAGTTTCCTGTAGTGCTGAAATTATTTAGTCTCATTGTGTCTTTTTTTCAGCATTGGAATTTTTTTTTGAGCTTGATTGACAGTTTACATCCATCTACTTTGTTTCTTCAATTTCAGGTACAAACCCAGGGAGAAGCTGAAGGTGAACTTTGGAACCCCAGAATTTCTCTCCCCTGAAGTTGTGAACTATGATTTTGTTTCTTTCTCTACTGACATGTGGAGCGTTGGAGTGATTACCTACATGCTGTAAGCAACCTCACAGTCTCTCCTACACACTTGCTTTCAACCTGTGCATGTTCTATGAGGCCTTGCTATTTTGAACAAAAGCCTTAATTTAGATGGTTTACCAATAAATAGCACCATTCCATACTCAATTACTTTCTAGGTCCTGTTGAATCCTAGAGGTGAGCAAATTCTTTTTTGCACATCATCTGAAAAAGTAAATGTCTGTCATCTTCATGGGCCACTTTGATTCTTAAGACATCACCTAAAGCCTCAAGGTACCCATAATACCAATACCAACACTACTATAATAAATCTCATATACTCACCTCCTTATTCCTCAGAAGCAACATTCCTAGTGTTTGCCTTCTGAGTACATGACAGCACCTTGCTAGTTGTGAAATGCTTTTAAAAGGAGATTGTATTTTTCTTTGAAAATAAGTTGGGAATTGGGATAGGGGAGGTCAGCATTTTCTTAGTTGCAATAGATCATGAAATCATGCTTCATCATTATAGTTTTACTATCTTTAAGGAGTTGTACAAAGGGATTTCAATTTAACATACCAATTTATAAGAACAAAACATCGTTAGGTTTTATTTCTTCCTTTCATTTTTAAATGACAGACTCAAAAAGCAAACATTCTAAAAAGGATTCAAGGTTGTTTGAAATCACTCACCTCACTCTGGATGCTGTGTTCTAGACTCAGCGGTTTATCCCCTTTTCTGGGTGATAATGATGCAGAGACACTAAGCAACGTCCTGGCATGCAGGTGGGATTTAGAAGAAGAAGAATTTCAGGACATCTCGGATGAGGCCAGGGAGTTCATCTCCAAGCTCCTGATCAAGGAGAAGAGGTATCCCCAGCTCATCTTCTACCCTAGGAAAAATGGGGGTAATCAGAAATATTGTGGAACACAAGGGTTGTTAGAATCTATTTCCCAGTGCCATCAATGGTGCTGATGCAAACTGAGTTAAGTTCAACTCAGTTGACCTGACCTACTAAGGACTAGGATTTCTCTGGTCAGCAGACTGCTATCTGACCTATGAATACATGCCTTTCTGGCTTCTGCTGCAAAACCCTCAACATTTACAGTCTCCTCCTGGGCTGCAGGTTATCACTGTCTTTTTCACCTCTGTAAAGCAAGTGTGGTTCTATGTAACTGAACGCTTTTCTACGGCTTCATTAGTGAATCTACTATGGGCTAGAGAGTGCCAACTATTTATCCCTTTTAACTACTGTCCCTCCCCTAGATCTAAGCTATAGAAAGTGCTATTGTTACTGTTTTATGGATGAGACTGTGAGTACTTGCTCCATAATTACAAGGGGCAGCACTGATACTCAAGCCCAAGTTGACCTTCCTCCAAGGCTATGCTTAAAACCATATCAGTTCAAACAAATTACAGTGAGTGAAGAATGATATTGAAATATAGGGCTTACATTTTAGAATTATAAGGGGGAAGGACATTGCGATTCACCATTTCAGGGGACTTTATACCTAGATCATATGATAATATTTAAGATTTTTAGAGCCAATAGTACTTGCTTTATTGTTTTATTATTTTGTGACTTTTAGGTCCATTAGTGAACATGACTATGAATTGATAGATAGAAGCATGTTGTGGGAAGTAGAGGTACCAACATGGCTCTGGCACAAAGCCTGATGGACAGTCTTTCATTCAAGCATTTAGCTGATCATTTGTCATAGTCTAGGAAATGAATTGGGCAGTAAGAACAGAAGCATGCTTTAGTAAACTTGTGATCTAATAGAAGTGATAGATTTTTTTTAAAAGAAGAAATAACTTACAATGTATTCTATACAATATACACAGTGTTGGAATCAAACTGAGTCTCTAGAGAGTGAAGACAATTTAGCCAGGCTAACAGCATCAGGCTGAGGAGGAAGACAATTTAGATAGTGATTTTCTTTTTCCTTGACAGAAAGAGTTAAAGTACCTGAGGTTATCATTATTATTATTGGCTTGGAGCAAAAAAGCCAAGGAATAGTGCCCAGGCTTTGAGTTAAAGTGTCAGTTGAAGTATCAAAAAGATGTAGCATTTACTGTTACAATAATAAAGGTGCATTTGTTTTTCAACTGTTTGCTAGGAGTTCAATTTATGACATTCAGATATTGTATCATAAGAATGGTTGCTTCTGTTTGGAAGTTGATGTCTTTTACTAACAAGACTTGTAAAAACCTTTTGTCTGATTTATTTTACCCATTTTGTTACCCTGGTTAGGTGTGATGATCACCTAAGCCATCCTCTAAAGCAAACAATTCCAGAGAGGCTAGATTTGACTTTGAATTTGAAAGTTGGCCACCTAGTCTACCAAAGGCCATGACCAGAACTAGGGATGAATGGCAGGTGCAGGGGTCACTTGGTGTGCTTCTACTAATGACTTTCTGGATTTCCTTTTAGTTGGAGAATAAGTGCCAGCGAAGCTCTGAAGCACCCCTGGTTGTCAGACCACAAGCTGCACTCCAGACTCAGTACACAGGTGACTGAGGCACCCTGCCTCCTCTGCTTTTTTCCTGTGTCTGCCTGTTATTTTATTTTGTTGTATTTATCAGTTATCCATCTTAACCTTTTGTCATGACTTAAGTCGTGTGCTAATTTGAAAGCATGTAAAATGTTATTATAGAGCAGAGTTTTAAATTTAAACTGTTAATAATGTTGTTTATATATGTTAAACTCATTAAGTATAGCTATTGTTATGAAAGCATCCTACCCATTATAAAATACAATTCATTAAATACTATGTACACATACTTACACTCACAAGTATATGTGGCCTGAATATTTAAAAACATACAGTTTTTGGAGAAGATATGTTGTTGTAAGTTCTGGAGAAATATCTCCTTAAAAATAATTCAGAATTCCAAACTCTTTGTTTTAATCTAGTTTAGTCTGTTTGGCCTCCAAATCTTAACTCTAATATTCAACTCAGAGCAGATTTCCAAGCGAGTGAAGACAACTTTGGTCTCTAGAGACTGCCAAGAGCTGGAGCCTCACACCTGTGATCCTAGCAACTCAGGAGCCTGAGATCCGAGGCTCATGGCTCAAAGCCAGCCCAAATAGGAAAGACTGTGAGACTCTTAACTCCAACTAACTGCAAAAAAGCTAGAAGTATAGCTGTGATTCAAGTGGTAGATGTCAACCTTGAGCAGAAAAGCTGAAAGACAGTGCCCAGGCCTTGAGTTCAAGCCCTAATACTGGCACACACACACACACACACACACACACACACACACACACACACACACACACACACAAAGGCTGTGAAGTAGAATACAGTGACATCTCTCTCTGTTCCCATTGTCTTACCACGTATATTCCAACTTTCTCATCTATCTCTGGCACAGATTTCTTTCCTATGCCTAAGGTCAGATGAACAAGATGTTTCCACTTGAATCCTCTCCATCCTCAGCCATCTTATCCCTTTCTGCTTCACTTCATCCTCAACCATCTTCCCAACATAGGATACCCATTGGGTAGATCAGTGAGACCCTAAACTGCCTTGTTTATTTCTCCCTCTCCCTTAATTCCTTCATCTTATGTTTAATTTACCTCCAAGTTCTATACATTATATTCCTAATTACCTCTGGACTTAATCTAATCCACTCCACCTCCATGATTATCTTTGTCTGGCAATAAAATTAAAAATTTTTAAATTTAAATACTTAAAAATTCTTTATTATCCTTAAGTGGTTGAATGAAAGGGTTTCAATTCAACATGTTAGTTTTTGAGCACAATAAATCATAATCAAAATCACTTCTTTCATTACTCTTCATTCCTCCTAAGCCCACCCATCCTCTCAATTTTCCTAGTTTCATTTTCACATATATACATTGAATATGACTGCATTTCTCCACTATTTCTTTCTTCATTCATCTACTCTCCTCCCTTCATTCATCTACTCTCCTCCCTTCCTGACAGCACACATTCCGGCTTCATGGTATTCATTTTGTTAAACTGTAACCTACCTATTCAAAGGAATTATACCATTGGATTCCTCCCCTGCAGATACCATACTTCAGTTAATATGTTTGTGTGTGTGTGTGTGTATATATGTAGAGGTCATATGTGTATATATATATTAATATATATGCATATATGTGCATATATACACATACATGCATATATATACACAGATATACATACTGTAGGGGTCATATGGGTATACATATGAATATATATGCATATATGTATATATACACATATATGCATATATCATATATACATATATGATATATACATATATATACCCATATGATCCCTACAGTATTAGCTCTTAATTGGCTTCTCTGCTTCTTTCATCTTCTTTCAATCTAAATAAGCATGAATTATAGATGTAACATTTCAGTCACTTAACTGAATATGTAAAATGCCTAGCTGGACAAGATTTACACACAGAACTAATAAGCAACCTAGGCTTGCAGGATCATAGTGGATGGGTCAGACATGCACATTGTGCCATGACCCTGGCACAGTGTGTGCTTCACACACTTTCATTTCCTCCACCTCTTCTCATCTTCTCCAGTCCTTAGGGGTTCTGGAAAGGAAGTTTTCCCTGACCAACAAACCTTGGAATGACTGTGCTTCAGGTACTCACTTTTTCCACAGCCAGTTTTTATTGAAATTAACTTGACTTCTAAATTCAGCATCAGCATGGGGTTTATTTGTGTCTGAATATACCTTTCCTTGATAATTGGTACTGATGCCAAGCAAAAATAGACTTATTACTGAGCCAGGCCCTCACTCAGACTGCATAACCTGCTTATTAGGGTAACCAACCTATTTTGAGCCCATTTTCCACCAATGTATTTTTATCCATGCTATTGGTGTCCAAATACACTTTGACGTGGCAGGACAATATAGAAACCACAGCACCGAATTAATGATACTATACAGTATAAAGATGTTTAAAAATATTTAAACCATGTGACAACAACAAAAATCACCTTTTTATTATTTTATCCAATAGCTGGTACTAGAAGTGAATAGATATTTTAAGAGTGGCGACAATTTTTTTTAAATCCTTTGTATGTCTGTTTACCATTAAAGTTATTTCGTGGTACTGTGACAGGCATTGCTCTAACTGCTTTACAAAAATTAACTATGTACTCTTCATGCCAATCCTATAACAGCATGATTATCAACTCTACTATGGAGATGAGAATCCTGAGGATAGGGACAAGTTCGAGAGAGTGGGCAGAACTTTATAGCTCTATTGTCCTTCTAAGTAAAGGGGGCCTAGATTATGTTTTCAGAACCATTTTTTAATTGTTATGAAGGTGATATACAGAGGAGTTAGTTGCATAAGTCAGATAATGAGTACATTTCTTCTTGAACAATGTTCCCTTCTCTCACTTTCTCCCAGTTTTCCCCTCTCTTATCCTCCACAAGTTGTATAGTTCATTTTCAATATACTGTCTAGTGAGTACCACTGCTACACTTTTTACCTTTTGTTCTACCACTTCTGTGCTCCCCGCTTACCCAGAACAGATAAACTTACAAACAAGACAAAAGGTACAAAAAACAAAAACATCAACAAAGGAAAAAAAACCTCTTGTTTCCATTTCTTGGAGTTCATTTTGATAAATATTATTTAATATGATCATATGCACAGAGCTATTGAGCCTTTATGATCTTCTTGTAATAATATTCTCCTTTGGTCTCACTATGTGAATGTCTAGAGACCTGTATAATTTATCATGTCCCGGTGTATTTTTTCTCTTTACCATCCTGTATGTTTACCTCTGATTTATAGACACATTCTAGTTACTACAAATGAAGGACAACATGCAACCTATGTTTCTTTGGGTCTGACCTACTTCGCTTAATATAATTTTTCTCAAGTCTTTCCATTTCCTTATGAATGGTACAATATCATTCTTTCTGATGGAAGAATAGAATTCCATTGTGTATATATAATACATTTTCTCCTTTTTTGCCAGTCCTGGGGCTTGAACTCAGGTCCTGAGCACTGTCCCTGAGCTTCTTTGCTCAAGGCTAGGTCACTTGAGCCACAGCACCACTTCTGGCTTTTTTCTGTTTATGTGCTACTGAGGAATCAAATCCAGAATACTAGGCAAGCATTCTACCACTAAGCCACATTTCCAACTCTATAAAACATTTTCTTCATCCATTCATCTGCTGTGGGCATCTGTGTTGATTCCATATCTTGGCTATGGCAAACAATGCTTCAATGAATATGGTTGTGCTGGTAGCTTTAGTGTGGCCTTGTTTAATGAACATGGTTGTGCTGGTAGCTTTAGTATGGCCTTGTTTGTGGTCTATTGGAATTGCTAGGTCATAGGGAAGCTCAATATTTAATCTTTTTTTATTGTGAAAATACCATACAGAGCGATTACAATTACATGGGCAAGATAACGAATACATTTCTTATCAAGCATTGTCGCCCCCTCCTTTGTTTCCCCTTCCATATTTAATCTTTTGAGGGAGCTCCATACAGCTTTCCAGAGTGGCTGAACAAGTTTACATTCCCACCAACAGAGTAATATGAGTTCCCTTTGGCCACATTCCTGCCAGCATCTGTTCTTGTTAGTTTTCTTGATAATGGTCATTCTAACTCGGCTGAGTTGGAATCTCAATGTTATTTTGACTTGCATTTCTTTTATGGCCAGAGATGTTGAACATATCTTCATGTGTCTATTGACCATTCTTACTTCTTCTTCTGAGAAGTCTCTCTTTACATCTTTAGCCAACTTACTAATTGGGTTGCTACTTTTTTGAGAGTTCATTTTGGGGGGATTTAATCTTCTGAGCTCTAAGTATACTTTAGATATAAGGCCCTTCTCTGAACCAAACTTCAAACTCTATTGCAAAACCATAGAAATAAAAACAGCTTGATACTGGCACAGAATAGGCCTGAGGACCAATAAAACAGAAAAGAAGATCCAGAAATCAACACACAGACTTATAGCCTCCTAATATTTGATATGGGAGCCAAAAACATAGGCTTGAAGAAAGACAGCCTCCTCAACAAATAGTGCTGGCAAAATTGGCAATACACATGCAGAAAACTAAAACTTATAAATAACACTACACCAGAATCAATTGAAAATGGATCAAAGACCTCAATGTAAGGCCAACTACCATGAAAATATAACTGAAAGGGGTAAAAGAAACACTAGGGCTAGTAGGCATGGGTTAAAACTTCCCAAGTAAAGATCCAGAATCACAATAATCAGAACTATTCTTGTACTGTACATATTTGGCATTAGTAAAAGGCAACATTCAAACAACATATTTTATTTTTCAACCAAATATAGGTTAAGGATACCTTATCCAAATTGCTTGAGACATGAAGGGTGTCAGATGTCTCTCAGAATTTGGAAATTGCACATACTCATCTTGAGAACAGGACCTATATCTAAACATAAAATTCAACTACATTTTATATATGCCTTATGCACATAGTCTGAAGGTAATGTTGTGCAATATTTTAGTGCACCTGTGTTTTGATTGTAATCCAGCACACAAAGTCTGATATAGAATTTTCTCCTTATGGTGCCATGCTGTTAATAGTGCAAAAGTTTTCAATTTTGAAGCATTTAGTATTTCAGACTTTTAGAATAGGAGTATTTAGCCTGTGTTGAGACTAAATTTTTCTAGACAATTTAATTTGGGAACAATCTTGGTTTTTATTATGTAAAATAAGAATTAATTTTTATGTTGAAATTTATTATCTCACCCACCATTTGACCTAAACTTATTTTCAAGTATTCTTATCTCTTTTGTTTCATCTTGAAAGCATTTAACTAGGTTTTCACAATTTCAGCATCTATTATTATTATTCTTTTATTTTTTGGTTGTGGGGCTTGAACTCTGGGCCTGGGCACTGTCCCTGAACTCTTCAGCTTAAGGAGAGCACTCTGCCACTTGAGCCACACTGCCACTTCCGGTTTTCTGTTAGTTAATTGGAGATTTGAGTCTCATGGACTTTCCTGCCCAGGCTGGCTTTGAACTGTGACCCTCAGATTTCAGGCTCCTGAGTAGCTAGGATTATAGGTATGAACCACCAGTGCCTGGTTTCAACATCTATTACTTAAGAAGCATTTTCTGTTTCTTTCTTAAGAATTAAGGTCCCAAAGTTCTCTGCCTTCAGTTTTATACTCAAGATGACATGGAGTGGTTCTGGCCTTTCTTAAGTCTCCAACGATCTGTACATAACCCATGCCATGTCAGAAACAGCCCTCACTTGAAGTGGGAAAAAATAATTCCAAACTATAACTTCGTTAGAACTCAGCAAATACCTCACTTGCAGAATTCCTCATTGCTTTGGAGACAGAGGAAGGAAACCTTAACAAATATGACATAGTTTCCTTATTCCAAGAACAAAAATACCCTTTGCCCATAGCATATGCCCTTCTCTCAGTGGACTAATAAAACACAAATGGATATCCAATTGTCATTCACTCTTTTCTAGTTCATCAAATTACCATTTCCTTAATTGCAACTCTCATCATACCACTTCAGAATTAGTCAGTATTCCATTATTGCAACAAATAATTATCAAGAAAAATTTTTCCTTTTGCTCATAGTTTTGGAGGTTTCAGTCCATCATCAATTGGCCCCTTTGCTTTTGGAACTATGGTAAATCAGAACAACATAATGGAACTACATGACTGGGGAAAACTGCTCATCTCATGGCCAGAAAAAGATCAAAAGAAGAAAGGGCTAGCAACATAATTTTCTTCAAAGACACGCCCCTCCAATAACCTAACTTCCTCCCATTAGGAGGAAGCACCAGGGCTGGCAATAATATAAAGGCTTTTGGGGGACAGTTAAGATCTAAATTGTATTGTGTCAATCCTTCGAAAGTTTTCACACATCCTCTTCTGTACACACCAAATCAAACACACCAGTGGTTACAGCTGCCCCAAGGATATCCCAAACCTATTTCTAGGCCTATCTCTGCCCATCCTTATAAATCAGCCAAAATCATCATGATTAAAGCTGAAATTGAATGTCATCTCTCTTATTTTTAAAAAATGTATTTGCAAGTTAAGTGATGGCCAGAGGAGGAGGATTTAGTCTAGGGTATTTTTTGCTTGTTTTTGTGTGTGTGTGTTTGACCAGTACTAGAGATTGAACTCAGAGACTTGTCCTTGCTAAGCAAGTGTTCTACTATTTGAGCCTCACCCCAGACTTCCATGTTATCTCTTTTACAATGGCTTTTCTTTGACTCCAAACTGAGGGTTCTTTTCTCTTAGTGAACCTATCCATTGGCACTTGCATGCCATCTGAATCATCCTCTAGCCATCAGAGCCCTAATGAAACAAGTACTGGCTCTTGTGCTTTGTCAAAGTGGGTTTTAACAAGGCATACATGTGAAAACTAAATGTGAGTGACTCTCAGTGAAAAGTAAGGAAAGTGATCATGGGGATGTTATAGGAGAGTAGAAGACATGCTTGACTTGGACTGTAAAGGTTGGAAGCATGTCTGCAGGGGTCTTTTACAATTTAGCTTTCAAGAATATCTATTAAAAACTGGGCACATTGGTATACACCTATAATTTCAGAATTTAGGAGACTGAAGCATAAAGGTGACTGTGAGTGGTGAGCCCATCTGGGTGATATTTAGTGAAAGCCTGTCTCAAACAAACAGAAAAAGAATTTCTGTGGAAAACACTTTCTATTCAGTAGCAACTTATTTACTCCCTTTTGAGTTCTCATAAGTCAAGAATTTATGGAAACAATTCTAATTTTTCCCCAAATGTCTCCTGGTTTTTCTAGAAGAAGAACTGCAACTCTGATGCTCAGAACCTCATGACCAAATAGTCCATTGAAGGTGCTGGTTTATTTGAAAGGTTGGTCTTTGGTCTTTTGTCTCTCTTCCCTCTCCTCTGGGAATGAAGAATAGTACATTTATTTTGAGGACTAACTAGGACCGCAATCTGAGAAGGCATACATTTGAATAGCCTAGAAAATATGGTCCACTTGTCTTGGGAAGAAATGTTTGTTGTATGCTTTAAGTGAGAGGAATAAAAAATGAAAGAAAGAAAGAAAGAGGAAGGAAGAAAGAAAGAAGGAAAGAAGGAAGGAAGGAAGGAAGGAAGAGAGAGGAAAGGAAGAATATAAGGAAAGAAAGAGGAAGAAAAAAAGCAGAGAAATTAAGGAAGAAAGAAACAAAGCAGTTGTATGCTATTTGCACAGCATGGTGAGAAGCAGAACTGTGTTTTGGCTTAAGGAGTGGAAGAGGTCCCCAAATTCAGATTGCTGATTTTGTGCCCTGGTTCTGCTGTTGCCTAGTAGAGGAAGCTCAGTTCCCTGACATGTGGATTGCCAATACTCTAAGATCACTGAGTGGCATCAATGAAATAGTCCAGGCAAAGCCATATGACCAGGGCCTGGCATAAAGAAGGAATCTCAATAATGAGCTCAGTAGGCTCTAGATGGAACAGAAATTGCCTCAGGTAATCGTTAGAAAAGTTTCATGAGGTCTATGGAAGTGATGTCTTCTTTTGTGTAAACTGGGGAACTGTACCTCAGAACCTCAGAAGTGGAACAACTCAGTCACACTGGACTCCATCCAGACCTGTCATTCTAAAATAAAGCCTGAGCCCCTTCCCAGTGATCTGCTCCTCTCCTTGTCCTCTTTGATCCTGAGACACACCACTTTGCACAAACTTTCCTTTGCCCCTCTTAGCATTTTGTCAGAATTAAAGGATAGTTTTGTGCATGAATATCTTCACATATATCAATAACTAAAGAACGGTATAAGATCAACGGGTCATTAAGGAATTTCAGAAAACCCACCACTGAAGGGGTACAAAGTCTTTGCCCAGTTTTCCACACCTAAGTTTTAATGACTTCCTAGAATATATGATATATGATTCTGGCCTTCTAGCCCACTCATTTTAATCCTTTTAATTTTTTTTCCTTTTTTAAATAATGGATTGAACCTAGTGCCTTGTGCCTGCTAGGCAAGTCCTTTACTATGGAGCTTTATCATCAGACCCTACTGATCTCAATCCTTTCTTTATTCCAGTTGGCATTTTTTGGAACCTGAGGTTTTTGTGTGTCTATTTGGCTGAATATATTTTTGCAAACAGCCTCAAAAATCTTTCGTAGAATACAATGGGGTAGAAATAAATCAGTATACAATAATCAAGTCCACAGTGTTAGAAAGCACTCACTTGGCCTTTCTGTATGGGGGTTATTTACTTATGAGCCTGTTACTTATTTAGTAATCTATGAACAGTCAACTAGAAGACCTGGGCTTTCAATTTACAGAGACCACGTTTGTTTATCAAAATTAACAAGGGTATCAGAGTATGGGGAAGGTAGAAAGTAATTTTCTTTTCCAGATCTTGGTGCATCAGGCTGAGCTTACAAAGCTTAGATAGCTGTCAATGTAAGCCCTCAGTAGGGAGGCCCCAAAGCAGTCCCCCTGTGCCTTTCCTCTCCCCTCTTCTTCACTCTCTCCCCCACAAGCAGTTTTGTCCCCAGCCACCACAAACCCCGAGGGTTTGCCACAAACCACCTTCCCACCAGAAATTCTGGAGTCACATTTGAGGCTTGATGGGAATGAATGCTCTGGGTGACAGGAGGTTGCATTCCAAGGCAGCTTGTCGCCAGGGTCTGGAGGGGAAAGAATGAAGAGGAAATGGCCATGGGAGAAGGTAGACATCTTCAAAGTTAAAGTCATTACCTTGAATTTGGAGTGATAGAATACAGTGGCAGAAGTCATGCAGAAGACAGATACAAGCATTTGAGCTGGTTACATAGGTGCAACCTTTGCTGGAATTGCATGCGACCTCCCCAGACTCTTGTCAGGTTTGCCTTTGCTGCTGCCTCTTTTCCCTGAGTTCCTCTAGCTCCATTAGGCCATAAAAATTCACCTGGATTTTACCAGAGGCCAAGGAAGAATTATTTCAGATTCACATGATGTGGATGTAGATTCTATGTTTATTTCCTAACCCCCTCTCCTACAGTGCTAGCAATTGAAACCAGGGCCTCATTCATGATGAGGCTCTCGCATTGAGCCTCCACCCCTATTTTTAATTTAAAAGTAAATGAAAGATATTAACTCTGGGAGAAAACTTTTTTGAGAAGATTAAAAAAAATCATTCTTCACATCAGATTCTCTGCCAGGGTGAGATGGGTTTTGGCAGGATTTATTATGAGTAAAACCAAACTTGAGATAATATTGATTTAAAAAATCTCGTGGTTAAAGATTATTACTGTGGAAAAAGAGAGTTCCAAGCTCTATAAATAAGGTCTAATCCACAATGTAAATTTAGGCATATAAATCTCCTTCAATTTGTTAGAGGTTTCTTGATGCACCAAGGAAACACTCCAAAAAAAAAAAAAAACCAACCTGATACCACTCCATTCATTGTTCACTTTGCATCTTTTGCCTCTTTTGCCAGAATATGTGATAGAAATTTAGAAAACCTCCTCCTATCCATAGAATTGATTCAGGAAAGCAAACAGTACATTGGCCCTAGGTTAGAGATGCCCTAAAGCAAATGGAAGTATAGTTGGTCCTCCATATTCATGGTTCATATCTTCAGATTCATCTAACTATGGATGAAAAATATTTGAATAAAAATTTGCATCCATGCTGAACATGGACAGACTTTTTTGTCATCATTTCTTAAACAGCACAGCATGGCAACTATTTATACAGCATATAACCTGTATTAGATATTACAGTATAAGTAATCTGGAGATGATTTAAAGTACAGTGGAGAATGCACACAGGTTCTTTGCAAATGCTTTGCCATTTTATATATAAAGGACTGGCATGTATGGAGGCCTGAAACCAATCTGCCATGAATGTTGAGAGAGGACTATGTGCTCTGCATGATTCACATTCTCACTTTGATACTGGGATCCAGCTGACCAAGGACCCATGGCACAGGGCAGGAGCGGCTGTTTTTCAGAAGAAACAAAGAGGCCTTGTCTCTGGATATTGCAAATAGTGCTAAAATATCTCCCATAAACTTCAAACCCCATTTTGGGTAAGCAGCGGAATCCATTGAGAGGTTTCTTTTTTTCTCTCACATACACACATACATTATAAAAAAAATCATCTGTGGTTTTCCTAAGGGCTACAACCAGCTAATTACAATTTTAAAAGTCCTGCTGAATTAACAGGATTCATATTTTGTTTGCTTTGCAGGAAAAGTGCTGCGGTTGCTGCTGCTTTGAGAAGACTTTTGAGCACTCAGCAGTTCTGATGCCTTGACCCCTTTGCTGACTGGCAGGGGGAGTAGGGAGAGCCCTTGAACTTGAACTTGGAGCGACTTTGCTGCACTCAATGGGTTACCCAGTTCCTGCTCCCTGGGGGCTCAGACAGATCCCCACATCCCACATAATGCATCCCATCAGGAAGATGTTTCCCTGCCTTCTTGAGTTGTTTTTTTTTTTAACTTAATGTATTTTTTATTATTGGAGGCTAGTTGCTGAGGTAGGGGTACATTATGTCTGTTATGTTTTGAAATACTAGAGCAATCATACTGTAGATTTATTTGAGATTTTTAAATCTGGAGGATGAATTTAGAGGGACGGGGAAAAGTCCAGTTCTTGCGCTATGACTCTCTCAAGCCAGTAATTATCTTTAGAAAAATTCTAATTTTGACTCTTACTGATTTGGCCTGGAATCAGGTAATTCATCAGATAAATTTGCTTTGAATTCTGAGGCTTGAGGAGGCATCAGGCACTGTACTTCCCATTTATTTCGCACTCGCATCCAAGTGCTTCAGTCCTGAAGCACTACTACATGGACAATTCTATTTTCAAATGAATGTTCTACCATTACATGATGCATACCTTAACAGACAATTTGTCCACACAAAACACACTAGTTTGGAGAATGCAGAAGGGACTTGTTTATAGTTAGTTTAATAGAACAGCCTTCACAATAATATTGACAATTATGAGACCTTTTTTCAAGTTTGCCCCAGGTGTCAGCAACAGGCAACAGAATCATCATCCTAGTAAAGGACAGTGCTGGGCTTGAGTGTGGAATGACTACAAGGGCAAGCTCCAGTTTCTGGTTAAACTAAAACATTTACAAGAGCAACAGTTTCATCAGTGTGAAATCTCATGTGATTCAGAGGCTATAAACAAATCATAGTTGGGCACCAAGGGCAAGGGGCCCATCTGCTTAGTTCTCTTTGGACACAATAATAATTTCCAATTCTGGAGCTAGTGCACCATTGCTTTGTTAAGGTACAGACGAGCAAAACATGCTTCATTTCCCTATGAAGAAGCAGCCAGCAATGCAGTTACCTGAAGTCCCATTATACATGCTATACCAGCCCATCTGTTCACCTTGAAGCCTTTCCTCCTTGTATTTTCTATTTCCAAATAACTGCCGTGATATGATCAGCTCTTATAATGCTCATGTTTTTAGTCATGTCACTCTGAGGTACTGTTGGCACAATGGCAATAAGAATAACAGTAATCCTATCATGTTGACTGTTCTCCATGCCCTCTCAAGAGATCACATGCTCATGAAGAACTAACACACAGGAACCTCATCCTTATGTCTATAGGGAAGGAGAAGTACATAGAGGGAAATATGCCACTTAGTGAAGGCCCATGCCAATTTCTTAGTCATCCTGGGATTAAAACCTATTCCTTCCTAGTTGTTGCTCACATAGTATGAGGCATTTCTGTGCTCCTACTTTGGTTTTTCATATCCCTAATATATGACTATGCTTAAAATGTTTCATTTTCTTAAAACCAGTGGTATATGCTGTAATCCTAGCAACTCAAGAGGCTGAGATCTGAGAACTGCTGCTTGAAGCCCCCAAGCAGGAAAGTCTGTGAGACTCTTATCTCCACTAAACCACCAAAAAGATGGAAGTGGAGCTGAGGCTCAACTAGTAGTGAACTTCCCTTGAGCAAAATCAGGCCTTGAGTTCAAGCCTAATGCCCCAATACTGGAGAGAAAAGAGAGACAGAGGGGTGGGGGAGGGAGGGAGGAAGGGAGGGAGAGAGACAGAAAGAGAGAGAGGAGAGAGAGAGAGGAGAGAGAGAGAACACAGCGGCACAGCCCTGTGACTGAAGTGTTATATTACTGTGCTATGTTTAGCTGATGCTGTTCATTGAGTCTGGAAAAATACAAGGCAGTGCATGCATTAATATTGGTAGACCACAGGGAGCTGGCATTCACTCAAATGCTAAATAAGACACAAGGGCCTGATTGGAAACCCCGTATGGGAGGAAGTTTTTGGTCCTGCAGCATGGATTCACCACCAGACTGAGAAGAAGGTCTTTTGCAGTATTTGTAACCTGCATCCAGCTTTCATTCTGACTCACTTTTGGCAGATAAACTTGCCCCAGAACCTGTCACACGTGGAAAGGACGGCTTAGGTCAAATAGAGCATGATTTCTTTGCACTAATCCACTTGATGACCCTGCAGTTAGTGGGTGTGATTTTTTTTATTTTTATTTTTTGAGGTTTAGAAAGGAGACTCTACATTGAGAAAGGATCTTGTTTGAATTTGTAGTTAAATTTCCACATTTGGATGGAAAGCATCCCCCATGCCAGCAGGGCGCCTTTTATATGAGAGCTGAGGCTTAGTTCCCTTTTGCAGAGTTGATGATTACAGTCTAGAGTTACCTTGGAAAGGAAGATTATCAGTCTGGTGTCTGTCCTGTCCCCTTGCCCCACGCCCATGTGTGGCTGCTTCAGCAAGAGCCTGTAACTTTGTAGATTGCTGTTCTGGTAGGGAAACAGGGCTTTTTAAAGCCAGAGAACCAAACCAGATCCAAGTGTGGATGCATAGAAGCTGTGTCTGGCTACACTGGGGCTATTGTCATGAAATTTCCCAAGAAGTCAGGATGTGGGAGGCAGCTTTTCTCCCCTGCCTTCTTAATGGATGATATGGCTTTGCTCACCTTCTCTAGGCAGTTGGCCCTTTCCTTTAGCAAATGGGGGGAATTAAGCTCTAAGAGGCACTTCCCACTATCTAGAGTGAATAAATTGACCAAAAATATGATGAAATCAGACTGATACTTCCAATTTGTAAGACACCAACACTTAACCAGAATCTGTTGGTATTTAACCATCACTCACTTGTGACATAAAAAACTTTGGAAGGAATTGTCATCTGACCTAATTTGGGGCAAAGATTTTCAGATTGAATTTGGTAACACAGAACTCATATATGTACTGTAGATTTGAGTTTTGTAGATTTTACTTTTTAGTGGCTTTTTTGTTGGACTTTATATTAATTCACTTTCTTTCCTTATGCTTTAAAAGCTATGTGCATACTCTCATCATTTTATGAAAATTAGAAGACTGACTTTTCTTCTCATTTCAGAGTCAAATGTGGATTTTTATACTAGGGAAGTAAGACTTTTCATTATTTCATTCCCTGTTCTCTCCTCCCTCCTCCCTGTTGCTCTTTTTGCCCTATCTAGCCATTCAGCGAGGGGCACCAGAATGCATACATGTTCTTGTTTGGTTTGGGCTGTGGGCCAACTCATTTGGAAAACTCATTTGTAAAAGTGCAAGCTAGAGAAAGAAGCAGGCCTGGCAGGCTGTGATGGTTAGACTTACTTCAGCTCTGGCTACTTCTGCCATCTGAGTGGCCAGACCATGGCCAAGGCTCAATGCTCAGTGTCCCCAGTTCTTCCTGCCTTGCATGTGGCTCTTTTACATTTCTTTCTTCCTTTATTAACCAAAGCCCAACTTTTCCCTACAATGTACCTTTTATGGCTTTTCTTCTTTCTCTCTCCACTTACTTCCTTTCATGCCAGGGATGGAACCCAGGATTGGTACATACTAACAAGCACAGGCTCTCCTTCAGAATTACATTTCCAGCATCCCTGAGGCCTTTTTGAGATGAAAATTCCATTTCCAAATGTCAGATTGCTTTCTACAGGAAAAGTCAATGCTCGACTTATACAATGCTGAGTTCCTGACTCAGACAACTTCTTTGTGTAGCTTGATGTCTATAGTTTCTCATTTTAGAAATGTTGCACATATCTCCTTACTCCATTTTAGTGAGATGGGTTTTTACAAGTGGTCTCTTACCTTCTGTGAAGGCTGTCACTCAACTGTGACCACACATTTTAAAGAGCAGAAAGCACTCAGCTCCTGAGTGTGTGTGCTTTGAGCGTGTATATTTTGCTGTCATCCCAGCTGGCAGATGTCAGTGAGAACTTCTGATGTTAATCCACATAGATAAGAACTGGAAATGGATTCATAATGTGGTAATTACATGTAGTTTTATTTCTGAATTTAGCTGTATTACTTTGCCTTGTGATGATGTTCTGAACAGTCATATTTGTTTTGAGGTACAAACATGGACCCTATTTATCCTTTGTTAATGAACTAAATTATTCAATAAAGTACACTTGGAAAATGTAATGCAGATTCCTTTGTTGCAGTGTCTGATGACATTAAGAACTCTCAAACACAAGGGTTCTAGAACCATCCACAGAACCATCAGGCTGCCTGCAGGAGAAAAATACATTCTCTACTTGAAACCTGACAGTGCCAAAATACCAAGACAGGATTTAGATTTCTTTTTCTGTCATTACAAAAATATTGACTAAGATAATATATAAAATGTCTGGTGCCAGAACAGTGGCTAGTAAATCATTAAGACAATTGCAGTTAGGCAACCACTTTAATGCTGCTTTATGAGTGTACTTAGGGCCAACAAACTGTCTGCCTTGGGAAGCCTACCACTATAGGACCTCAGAATGCAGTGGCCACCCTATCATGCCTGGAGTAGTGCTTTCAGGGGCCAGCATCTGCACTGAAGATACATATCTGTGACAATATCTGGATCCTTTGTAGGCCAGCAGAAACAGCTGCATTCACCCAATCTGGTTGAGACAGACCCTGGGTTTCCCATTGCCTCCATTGCAAATGTGGGTATGTTTGGAAGAGTGTCTGTGTTCTCATCAAAGCAACCCTTTCCCAACTCTCTTGAGTCCAATCTCTCCCAACTCCAACCTTTGAGTTTGAAGTTCCCCAAAGGAAAGGATATTGGCTCTCTGTATTGTTGCAAAACAGACTCCAGTGAGTGTCACCAGACTTGCTCAGGAACAGGTTCTCAACGCAAAGGTTGAAGAAGCTGCCCCTTGAAGATGAGTCAGTCATGCAATTCTTTTCACGCTTCTTTTGCCCTTTCCTAGGGTGACGTGGAGCATGTAAGTCTCCTTCACCATGCCACAAAGGAAGGGCACTAAGATCTTTATTGCTTCCCTCTATTGTCTACTCAGAAAGTAAATATTAATGTAGCCACCTGACTATGTAGGTGAGTGGTTTCTAGAGCTCCTTCTTCTCAACAACCTAGAAATTTCTTTTTATAACCTGTAATGTAGGG